TTACCCTCGGGTACATATTATACGCCATTAACGACAACGACCCTTCGTGCGTTAGTCATCGAAGTTTACCTCTGCTCATTACAGTACGGCGACAGCAAGTATGAAATGACAGGCTATAAACATTTTGATGATTATCCCAGGGTAGCAGTATGCGATTTTATCTGGGTAATAACTGTTACGTACCCATTATTATGTTGTTGAAATATTAAATCCCGTTTGCCGCATTTGTTGTCTTGAAAGTTGAAAATACGGAATAAAAAAAGTTAGATGAAAGGGATGTCATCCCAAATAATAGCACAACCTAAACAAAAAAAGAGATATAAAAATAAGATAAATATATGCCTTCAAATTGTGAAATTTAAACCACCATTTTTATTGCGAATAAATCCCGAGTAATCTAGCGCCAAGCAAAAAACTTGTAGTACGAGATATTGAAATGAGATTTTACAAGGTTCTCGCAGACTGTAAATCCTCTCGACAATCAAGCGATCATGGAGAGTTTTTCGTAGCAAAAAACCGGGAAGATTTTTTTATCTTGGTTACATTCAGGTTTCGGGTTGTGTTTCAAGTGATAAGCTCGCCGAGTGCCAGGCCAATGTACGAACCCGTAAATGAGTGGAAAGGTCTGCCTGCAGACCTCGGCATCAAAGTTTGAGCGCCATCTTTGAATCTACAATTCACACGTAAAACATCAACGGTCACAACCTCTGTTACAGCGCCACCCCTAATAGAAGAGGCCCTTGTTCATAAGGACAACTCTGTGTTTGCCTCGAGTGAGCAATACTGGTGAACAGCCGTCTATCGAACAAACAAACACATGTCTACAGGGGTAGAAATGATCTTTTGAACAAGGGAGTCCAACGACTCCCTACCCTCAAAAACAGGTCCGCAGTCTGAGGTTCAAAAATTAAAGATTTTAACAATAAGCGAATGTGCTTAATTTTGAAGATTCATCGCAGGTTTGCACGTCAGCCAATATTTTCTTGGACTATGTAGCTGGAAAAATACGGTAATATCTGCTAAGGCCGTTGCTCCGGACGAACTAGTTAGTATCACAGAATTTTTCAGGGAGTCACAGTCTTCAAGGGAGTCGCGCCAGTAAAATCAGGGAGTATTTGATTGCCGACCTCGCCTGTTAATTTCGCCACCCTGCGTCTAATGTTTATTTTTTAGAATCCTACTGAGACAGTTTATAGCATTGAAACGATACGTACACAACAGAGAACCCTGTCTATTTAAAAAAATCTCAGCATTAATGTCTAAATGCTTCAGCTGCATATAGAGCAATTTATTTCTCTTCAGACAGAACATGTCTGCATTTTCAGAACATTCTACGGCAAAACACTTTCAGGATCAATTATAGCCGATTGGCGCATGGGCTTTTTTTTCCCCCCTTTTAGACTTACTAGGACAACTGCAAGAACTGTGCAAACCTTGACTTTGATGCAAACTGAGCGCTAACGCAAAAACATTACCCATTCAGGTTACAGTTACATTCTCCTATGAACTAGCCTAAACCCAGCACAGCACACTAACGTACACACAAATGATTTCTGATGGATAAAATTTTGCATGATCTCAGGTAATAAATCCAAATATACCAAACCTGCGGATTCATGGAAGATTCTCAGCGCCAGCTTCTAGCAGAAGGCCATACTCAATGTTCTAGCTAAAAAAGACTGTTTGTTTCCGCTAATACCCCCATTCACCAGGGCCCAGATCTCACTACGCTCGATACTACGCTCTAACAGCGTGGTGAAACGTGCACTAGAACGCAGTATGAACGTATATGGACGTACTGCGGATCGGCGATCGAAGCGCGGTGGCAGTCACCGATGAGCGTGGAGAGGCCGTAGCCAAACTTGAACATGTTAAAAAACAATCGTGGGTTGCGTGCGTGCGGAAAGACAACGCAGTGGCGGGCGTATTAGAGACGTGGAAGGGCATAGTACCCACGTAACTCCGAGCGTAGTAGAAACTTATGATCGTGTCGGGTGCGTGAAAATTGTCGCCCCGTCTGCAGCACAATGTCAATAACGTTTTCATCAGGCTGTTACTCCGTCGCATGGAGATGTCTCTGCGACCTGACCACGTTCTCACTATGACCAATGGTGGCGTGCTTCTAGCAAGCTTCGACCCGTTTCGTACTACGATTGTACTAACGCCCAATCACGCTCAGACAGCGCCATTGTGGCAATTCGCATTGAACATGTTAGTTACGCTCAAGATCCGCGTCGCTGCGAACATTGGGGTATAAATTGGGGTGCTACCCTGGCCACCGCCAGCAGTGTCCACTATGGATGAGGGCCAACACTACTCATACAATGTTTCTCGTAAGAATAGACACTCGAAATTACTTGATTGCCAGCCCTCCATCAAATGCTGACGAAGGATGAGGAGGAGAAATAAAGTCCTTTGGCGGCAAAGCTGTAAGCAATACTATTATGGTTAAAATCAGTAGAAAAATAATCTTGATGTGAACACGCACGGCAGAATCGCATGATGAATGTCTAAAGCGGCGGCAGTGTTTATATGGTCGTTTGCCAGACGCAGTGGCGCGCCCTGCCTAGAAGCGTGATTAAGTTCGCACTAGAGCTTGACTGGCCCAGGTTGAGGCGCGGGTGAGCAATTTGCGATCTGATAAGGTCGGCAATAAGACGGCAGTGGAGGCGCAGTGCAATGCGTTGAATGCGGGTGTGGTTGTTGAGCGTGGTGAAAGCTTTGTTGAGCGGTCAATAAAGATCGGGTAAGAAACGTCACTTAGATCGTAGTATCGACGTAATTAGCATCTAAGTATTCGAGGCTTGGGCCGCCTGGGCCCATATTGGCCACGCTCTCACCAACCGCTGACACGCACACTCGGCAAATTTTTGGAGGCGTGGGTCGATCGTGATGAGGCGTAGCTCAGGTGTGAATGAGCCTTACCGCGCCTAGTCCATTTCCAACCCGCCCACCCCCCGCGTGCCCAAAACACGTTTCATTGGCGATCGCAAAAAAAATGCGGTGATGCCATTAATTTTAACTTTAAAGTCACTTAATAATGGGCTGTGCATTATAAGATATAAGGGAAAGAAGTATTGTATAAATCCCAAAAAAAAATATTGATTAAATTTTTTTGGCCTGCCTACCTACCGTGTGCCAATCTTTTTTCAGCTCGTTAGCAGAGACAAACATCTTTTTTTGCTTAGGCGCTTACTAAAGTATCAGACGTGTAGCTGAAACGTTACCTATTGAGGTGAAATGGGCGAGGGCAAGAGCCATAGCATTGCCAGGGCTCTAACGTCGCTGTCAGTGAGGGTGCTGCTGCATCCCTACTTGAATGAACTCCACGGCGTCGTATTGTAGCACGCTGTAGAGTCCAGTGCGAACGCAGGCATGCGACACCGCTATCTAGCAATGCAGCATCCATTGACCTCACGCCAAGCACCGGCGCATAACAGACTGTGACAACAGAACATCTTCTTGTGCATATCAAGAAGTTTGCGTTTACAAAGTTATGACATTTAACAACTCTACACTGTATAATGACAGTAGCACAGTTACAGTAGCAAAGTACGCACGCACGCACGCACGGCCACGCACGCAACGCATTTGTCTTATAAAACACATGTCTTCTTATTCTTGTTGACTTTCGTAGTGAATCGAACAAATATATCAGTCTTAATCTTCCGCACACCACGCTAAATCTCTAGAATGGCTAATTCTTATAACAAGAACAATAATAAACAATTCAAATACAAGTTAATGAACTGACATTGACGTTGACATAAAAGATTTCAACAATGAGCATGGATCTCCGAAGTTTAATTAGAGGGGCGTGGGGGGGTCGCTTCTCTCGCCACCTCCCTCCTCCTACCTCTCACACTACCCCCCTACGCGACATTTTTTTTTTTTTTTTTTTTCTCGATTTTTTTTTTTTTTTTTTTATTTTTTTTTTTTTTTTTTTTTTTTTTCTTTTCAAATGCGCGTTACGGTCGAGCATTTAGATTTTGTGGGCCAACTGTTGACGGACAGGCCGACGCACGACGACGGACATGGTAGCACAACGAACACGCACACATGGCACAGCATGCACCAACGCATGGGACAATCATACGATTCTAGACAGCTCATCTGATCTACTCAGTAAGCTAACGATCAAATCCTGCAATAGATTGTTCATGTAGTACACGCACTTACTAGGCCATTAGAAATGCTCCACATTCCCCCACCATTGGCTTTTACATAGATTAGTTTCAAGGGTTTCAACAAATCAGCAGAGATCAATAAAGCCAGTCAGGATCGTAAGCGAGAAATTCTGATATATAATATACCTAGGCTATCACTGGCGTCAATTGACAAGCAGTCTCAGCCAATCAGCAATCAAGATAAGGACATTTTAAAATACACCACTTAGCATCAAAGTGAAGCAAAGTCGATAATATAAGGCCTGCGTGCATTGAACATGCGTAGAAACGAGACGAGCTTGATTACCAGAGAACCTAAAAGATCTATTCAACAAACACGCCAAGGTGTGCGCCATGGTTGTTTAGGCTCAGATGGATAGGTAAATTCCAACGGGCTTTCCACCATGCAACAAATGCTCACCTGGAGCCCAACATTTCCCAGCAATTTCTATACAGCACTTGTACTTCTGTGCAGCCTGTGTGGGTTTCCAGCCAGTAGGCAGGTGTGACGGCTTGCTCACTGTCTGCAGAGTATTGCTGCCGGCAGCTTTACTGAATCATCACCTACACACGACGAGTAGAATAACAGCGAGTCCGTTAAGCTTACCGGCGCTGAGAGGGTCTATGTCCCACGCAGGGTACTGCCGAACGTACCCTGGTACTATCTAATATGCCGGACCGTACCTCGCCTACTCCACTAACGAGTCTAGGGAGTCGCCTACGCCTACTCCCTAACCCTAACCATATTAGATAGTACCAGGGTCCATTCCGGCAGTACCCTGGGGGACATAGACCCTATGAGCCTTACCGGCGTAGCAGCTGTTATTGTAGTGGCTATAGGTATTATAGCCTTCAGTCATCACTGCATTTAGCCAGTGGTAAAAAAGGAATCGACATTAAAATAAGTTAGTCCACAGTTCATGTTATCTGCAACAAAACCTTCGCGTGCAAAGCACAACGTTGCATGGCGCATTGTCATTGCTAGCTGTTGTTGTTTTCGTTTTTGTTGTTGTTGTTGCTGTTGGTGCTTTTGCTGGTGGTTATTTTTGATCATGATGATAATGATGACGTTGTTGTTGTTGTCAGTTATTAATTAGTGTGTCGATAAGTATATATTGTATGTTATTAACCACCATGTTGGCTGCAGATGCACATGGAAGCTCTATCAATCGCAGGCAGCATGTTATAAGAAACACAAGTAGATGCGACATTGTAAGCCCTCCAGAGATGCCAACACATATTTGAAGCAATCGTTAGTTTCTGGCTATCAAATTAGTAGTTGCTCGGGTCACGACGTGACCCGGGCTTGCTAGGGGGGTCCGGCAAATTTTTTTTATTCTGAGATGCAATTTAGGCATTCTGAGTGTCAAAAATGGCAATAAATTGAAAAAAAATGACAATAATTGACATTCTTTTTTTTTTTTTAGATCACATCGAAATTCGTAGTTTGATGGTGCAAGTGGAATAGAAATTCGTATAAAATACGGATAAATCGTAGTGGTTGGCATCTCCTTCACGTCATAACTTAAAGTGAAGTAGCGTGTAAACGTCACCAGGTTTTTGACTTCTGCTAGACGTAACTCTTCGCAATGTTTCTCGAAATGGCCTCCTGATGTTTCTTCAATTAACCGGGCAGTTCACGTATAACAGCTATATCCAGGCGCGGCATATAACGAAATTTGATTTCATACTATTGCAATGCTGCTGCTGTCCTTGTTGTTTTTGCTGCTGCTGCTGTCCTTGTTGTTTCTGCTGCTGCTGTTGTTTCTGCTGCTGCTGCTGCTGCTGCTGCTGCTGCTGTTCTTGCTCCTTGAGTGGCACCTTCTGCTCTTGATGCAGCTTCCTTTGCACTCCATGACCCTCTGAAAACATTAAAAGTCATTTTGATACAACGCTCGGGTGTTCGTTACGAGTCCATTGACATACCAGTGTAAATGCAGGCTGGACAAGATAAGTTCCCGCTGAGCGTGTGTTCTCCTTGCGTTGTGTATATTCGTTATCTGCAGCTAGTCGGCTACGCTGAGCTGCGTGTGTACGGATTTGCACAAACAGTAGATCGTAGCAAACATGCCTCTTTAAAAACCCGTTCGCTGCCCCGGCCGCACGCACGCCCATAGAGAAATACATAGGTAATAGCTAAAGATTTCAACACAACCATTTCGATTAATTAACAAAATAAAACACTCTACGCAGTACGCACTACTACAATTTCAGCTAATTACCCCTAGTAGCTGATGTACAGTATAGATATATATATCTAACAGTGACGGTTAACATGTACCCAGAATAACACGTTAGTCCACAGCAACAGTTGACCAACCTTTGTCTAATAAAGCTTGCTGGACTTTAGCCAGTTTCTGATTTATTTCCTTAAGATCAGCCATGGGGTAAACGGGAGAGCAGTTTTTAATGGCAGCATGTAGTGTGGCACACGCATACTCCAGCCGCCCCATCTTCTCTAGTGCACCAGCATCCTTGTAATATGCCTGCACAAACAAACACAGATCATGTGTAAGTCAGTATCTCTGTAATACATCTGTACAAACATACATAGACCACATGTAAGTCAGTATCTCTGTAATACATCTGCACAAACACAGATCATGTGTAAGTCAGTATCTCTGTAATACATCTGTACAAACATACATAGAGCACATGTAAGTCAGTATCTATGTAATACATCCGTACAAACATACACAGACACGTGTAAGTCACTATCTCTGTAATACATCCGTAACAAACAACACAGACACTGTTAAGTCAGTATGTCTGTAATACACCAGTACAAACATACACAGACCACGTGTAAGTGTTTATCTCTGTAATACATCTGTACAAACATACACAGACCACGTGTAAGTCAGTATGTCTGTAATACATCTGTACAAACATACACAGACCACGTGTAAGTCACTATCTCTGTAATACACCCGTACAAACATACACAGACCACATGTAAGTCCGTATCTCTGCATTACATCCATACAAACAAACGCATTACATGCGCAAACAGGACGTCAAATACGCATTTAATACTGTTAGCATAAAATTCACTGCAATGTTGATTGGCACGGAACGCAGAGAATGATATAGGCAACTGTAACATGCTTACTACTGCAGTGCCAAACAAGACACTAAAATTGGGCCTCAAAGTTTTCAGTGCAAAGAATAGACATCGACGTTTTAACAGCTGTGGATAGCATGAGCTTGAAGACCTTGCTCATGAGTGTAGAGTACCTTTGGCCAGGTTTCGTCCAGAAGCATTGCACGGAAGCAGTCTGATCTCGCACTCGAGTACTTCTCCATTTCAATGTACACCTGCAATGCATGACAATGTGAAGCAGCCAATTCCCACACAGCTCACATGTACTTTCTAATACTTACACAGCACACAGGCTATTTCTTACATGCATTACAAGTAATTTCTTACACATCTCATACATGGTTCATACAAGACTGAAAATTTTTTCAAGGACTTTTCAAGGACATTTTATCGGAAATTCAAGGACATTTTATCAGAATTCTTACACAGAACAAAACATACCTGGATTAATTTAATAACCCCATTCTTAATCACTGCATGCCACTTTAAAACTTACCTGGATCACATTAATAAACCCTTTCTAAACACTGTCACTTTTTACAACATACCTTGATTTACTGACTGATTTTACTGACTTACTGTAATTTGTGATCATCATTTAACTGTCTATCGTGTCTATAGCTTTTTAAGTTCATTTAACGCAATTTTAATCGAGGTTTGCCACATTATTGATGGTACAAAATTTCTGTTTATTACAGGCAAGGATTCTTTTCTAAATGCAAGGACTTTTCCAGCACAAAATCAACATTTACTAAATTCAAGTACTTTTCAAGGACTCCCTCAAATTCAATTACTTTTCAAGAGACTGTGCAAACCATGTTATAAGTTGTTTCTTACATGCCGGAAAGTTTATAGCACTTCAGTAGGAAAGGGATGAGATGACCGTAAAGATACAAAAACACGCCTTAGTACAGTGGTTCCAAACTTTTTTATCTGGGCCGCACTTTTGGAATATAAATTCGCTCGCAGCACACTAAATTTTCCCTGATGAGAATTACATTCAAAAAACAAAAACAACTCCTAGCAGTGCTTGATTCATAACATAGAGGCACAACATACTTTATATGATCATGTGACATCCAGAAAGTATAATAAATCTTACAAATAAGTGCAAAAATAACACACGATACTATTTAACACTGCACTGAATACAAAGGGAGATGGCATGAAATCTAGAAAATTCGACCAGTTTCTAATTCTATACATATATATTTACCATATTATATCACATGTAACAAAATAAATCAAATGAGAAAATGACCTTCATATTTATTTTTGGCACATGAATTTTTGAAATGTTTCTTTGTTTGTCTTTGAAACTTTCACCCACTTGCCATCCTCTTGCGCTGCACACCACCTGTGACATGCCCGCACCGTTTGGGAACCACTGCCTTAGTACATTCAGATGGAACCTTTTAAACAATTACACACAACACCAACTTGCTGGTTGCATGTTCCCTAAAAGCTACATTTAGCAGTTTACCTGTGTGCCGATTTCCGTAAACGATGTGATTGAATGGATTTATCTCGATGGCATCTGTATAGCGATGTAGCTGCCTTTGAATAATCTTCTTTAAAAATGCGTTGTTGCCAATCTTTGAATCCTCTACTGTCCTGGTGCAACATTAACAGACAAGCAGTAAATACCACAAGATGACAGCTCTATGTATTCAATAAACGTAGACAAGTATAAACACATCAAATAGACTATGCCTATGATAAGCCACACAAAACACACACATCATGCAAACACTTGGTCATTTTGTACTCCCTAATACTACACTCTAATTTTTATATTATATGTTCTAGTCATTTGATATGACATATTCAGTATATCATGACATATTTTCTCAAATGATCTATGAACTTGCTGACAGTACAAAACAATGAATGCATTTCAGCACCATGTAAAAAAGGACCACGTCATAATAATTAAACTGACCCATTTGTCTGGGTGTGACTGACAGGCAGATCTAACATGATCAGTGTTGTGACAGGATGCTGTTTAAAGACAATGCCTGGGAGAAGAGTTGCCACAAAGTCGGACAATTGGCATGCACACGAGAAAAATATGTATAAACTACAGTCCAGGCTGACCTAGCGCAATATCAAACTGGAGCATGCTTATCTCACCCAGATGGATAGGTCAATTTGCTAATCACCTGGGTACGCCGATCATCTGCTTTCTCATATTCTAAAAGGACGTTTGGAGTCACACAAGATTCTATCATGTAGCTGCAGAAGTGACACAGCAGTAACCATCACAGCAGTGACAGACTGAAGGGGGCTTAGCTCCGGCGGAATAACCACGCAGTCTGTCGCCTGCAAGCCGTCAAATGTGTGATGTGAAGACACATACGTTGATTTGAACGCACCTAACCCTTGTCCCACCCCTCCGTCATCTCCCATCATATCAAGACACGCCACATTAAGTTAAGGTTACTCTCAAGGTTTAGCAAAATTTACCGATTTTCCATTTTCAACTTTATTCGATGGCTAACACTATGTGCCACCGCATGTACATGCTCATTTCTCCATATAACGATACATGTGAACTTTCAGAGCGTATTGATTATTCCGGCACACGGTGTTAGTGAGCTGCGGCTGGACGTCACTGTGACATCAGAGACATAGATACAACCAGATTTTCATGATATTCACTAAGGCCAGATCATTCACATCAACCCTTCTACAGATGTTATCTTGCCAGTGATAGGTTAAACTATCCACGCTGCCCAAAATAGTTCTTCACCGTCACTACACACCTTACATTAGGCGCACGTTTGTTGATATATAGCTTAGTGACGTCAGGCAATGGCGCGGGTGTTCCGTGCGTTTTGCATGAAATTGCGTTGGTAACCTCGTAATTTCTCAAGGTGCATTGAACATTTTACCAATTTAGTGGTGTCAGTTAGTATGATATGTCACAGTAAGTACCAGGTTTCTCCGCTACGTTGGCACGGGGCGTGCGGCCCCGTTTGGGAAACTGCCCCCTGTTTCAATCGTTGCGCCCCGTTAAATTACCTCCGCCCCGATTAAATTCCACCACAATAAAAGTTGGACAGCGAGGAATCGATCGTCAAAGATTCCATTCCACCCGTACCACGCATGCACTGCAGCCCATCACACAAGTTCAAACAGTTACCTGCTACGCACCCAACAATAACTATGCACCGACTCGGCTACTCTATATATACAAGAACCCAAAATACCGTCTATGGTGTGTGGCGATTTTACGCATTAATTAGTGGTACGGTAAAAAAACACGCCCCGGACCCCCAAGTTTCCCCTTCCCTCCCTTCCCCCCTATCCCTCCCCTCCCCTCCCCTGCTTTCAATTTCATCCTGGGAGAACCCTGATACTAACAGTAGTATGTTTTACACTACGTTCAACCATTTTGCAAACAGTAGCGGTCGATCATTGTGAAAAATAGAAAACGCTGATTTCTCCGTTTCGGTTTCTGCAATAGTAGCGCGATGTATAAATGGATATTCTCCTGTGTTCTTAATTATTACAACACGGAATAATTGATTCAATTCTAACACACTGCCTTGATTTTTAAGCAGTTTTTTTCATTTTTCTCAGTTAAATATGAAACGGTTTACTGCACAATGTTACCATGAGCCTGACTCGTATTTCGAGAATAGTTGCCAAATCTCAGTCATCCGCGTGATGTCACGAGAGCTTGCCGCTTTTTCGGCTAGTTCTATTACAAAATAAGTTTTAGAGCGCCTGTATAATTTTTTTTATTGATGCATATAGTGAAAAATAACAAAGCTATATATTACTATGTGTACAGCCATTATTTTTTTGCTTTCGGCAGGCGTCTTTAATGCAAAGTATTGATTCAGCAGGCATGTACACATACACTAAAGACACAGACTTACCCAATTTCTTCAACATGTACCCATGATATAATTTTCCATCAATCTCTCCAGAGACATTGGTAATGTTGTTTTCATCTCACTGGTTATTGTTGGAGCCAGCCTTCAATAAGCTCCACGAGCAAAAATGAATCATCCCTCTGAAGGTAAAAAGATGCAGCCATTGCTATTACCTGCGTTCACACGCAGACTCCGTATTTATGAAAATTCGGTATTTGCGAGCTACCGATCTGACGACAAATTCGCGGACTTAAGCCGCTTGCGCTTCAGGTCGCCCTACGCATTTGACTATCTGCAACCACTTTATCGCCGATTAGCAGCGTAGCAACACACTCATGTCGACTTGAAGCTGACTTAACGCGTGACTAATCGCCGATCAGATCATAGCGTTCTGCAGGAAACTAAGACGGCGTTCGCGGCCCATTATTTGTACTAGCACAAGCAGTTATTTAGCAGAAACAGAGCAAGCTTGATGCCGGGACCAGTCTACATAAAACGAGCCAGTACACATGACCAACAAAAACGGCGCTACAATGTAAACATCACATGTCATCAAGGTAACTTCGTAAATCTATCCTCAAATTTTGAAAATCGTTATAATCATGTGCAGAAAAATATTTTAAAAAATTGCTGTGTGTATACGAAAACTTAATATATATTGAGAAAGGGTTTGTGCAATAATCCCTCCTTGATAAACTGCGTGTAGGCTGCCATTTTTGTTAATCAACCGTGTACTTATGATAATCATGTGACTCGACACGGTAGCGGTGATTGGCTGCACTCACGATTGTCGCCGCACTGCCGCGTAGAAATAAAAACCGTTTCTATTTCTGCGCATCGCGTCGGCGACCGTATTTTCGGATTGTAGAGAATACTCATGTCGATTTAGTCGCCGATGTTTTATCTGCGATCTGGCTGGTTTTTGATGTACGATCTTCAAATTTTGTCCGGCAACTAGGACGTAAGGCGACCTGTCACTCTGAGTTGGCCTTCACTCTACCGAGCGTTCACACGCTGTTTCGCGCTTCAGAAATGCCGTATTTTATACTGCGAGACTGCGAGTTGAAAAAAAACAATGCCGCAAGCGAACAATCGCGACATTTAACAATCAATGCCACAGCAACGACGACGACAGGAATACGTAGACTATAGTCCGCACTCGACAGTTCCACGGCTGTCAGTGTAACGTGAATGCGAACTGTCGCGCGCAGACCAGTCTATTAAATACGCGGCTTCAGAAATGGTGTATTTGCGTTCAGTTGCGTTCAGGACGAAGAGAAATACGCCCGTCCAAGAGATTCGAAATTCTCAAGCCACGAGAAGTAATTCGCATCTGGGAAGCCGCGTATTTAAACAAATACGGCATCTTTTTAGATTCAGTATTGTTGGACCGCGCATTTTTGCCTAGTGTGAATGCTAAATACCGAATGTATTGCTCCGTGTGAACGGCGGCTATTATTCTTCCTGAATTCCTATGTTAAAGCAAACACTTGTAGGAAAAGCCCTTAGAATAATACTGGAATAATCAATGGGAAACTTACAAAAAAACTAGCACTCCTTTTCAGCACAAAACATAAAGCCATTTGCACACACTTGTTCCTGGTCCTAAAACATTATCTGAGACCTGCAAGAAAGCGTGGTTATTAAAAGCCAAAGAAATTTCCCAGCCGCATTGTAACAGACAAACACACACCATTTTTCCAAAGGAGTTTATACATAAGAGGTGACAATTAACGCATTGACACACCCGCTGTATTTTCCACCATTTTAGTAGATAAAGTGTTATAAATTTTAGTATGTTTTAAAGAAATCCATCATGATTTTGCAAAGAATTGGGGTTTTACTGAATGGAGGCATTCAACAATGTCAGTGAAACAGAAGCTACATGATGTTTCTGACAATTTTGCCCAGTTGTATGGGTGTGTATAGGTTCAAGTTGAAGAAATAAGACGTCCGATTATTTGGATTCGAGTGCCACTTTTATTTCGGTGCCAACATGCGACTGTGCCGTGCTCATGTAAATACATTGCTATAGCAAGGATAACATATCATATCGTAGCACCAAGTATAGTACCTCAGGGTTCCTGACAGATTAATTCTCTTCTCT